GTAACTGAAGACTTTTGTTCGTCCAGGTCTCATGGTAACTGAAGACTTCAGTTCGCCCTGGTCTCATGGTAACTGAAGACTTATGTTCGTCCAGGTCTCATGGTAACTGAAGACTTCTGTTCGTCCTGGTCTCATGGTAACTGAAGACTTCTGTTCGTCCTGGTCTCATGGTATCTGAAGACTTCTGTTCGTCCTGGTCTCATGGTAACTGAAGACTTCTGCTTGTCCTGGTCTCATGGTAACTGAAGACTTCTGTTCGTCCAGGTCTCATGGTAACTGTAGACTTCTGTTCGTCCAGGTCTCATGGTAACTGTAGACTTCTGTTCGTCCAGGTCTCATGGTAACTGTAGACTTCTGTTCGTCCAGGTCTCATGGTAACTGTAGACTTCTGTTCGTCCTGGTCTCATGGTAACTGAAGACTTCTGCTTGTCCTGGTCTCATGGTAACTGTAGACCTCTGTTCGTCCAGGTCTCATGGTAACTGTAGACTTCTTTCCGTCCTGGTCTTATGGTAACTGAAGACTTCTGCTTGTCCTGGTCTCATGGTAACTGAAGACTTCTGCTTGTCCTGGTCTCATGGTAACTGAAGACTTCTGCTTGTCCTAGTCTCGTGGTAACTGAAGACTTCTGCTTGTCCTGGTCTCATGGTAACTGAAGACTTCTGCTTGTCCTGGTCTCATGGTAACTGAAGTCTTCTGCTTGTCCTGGTCTCATGGTAACTGAAGACTTCTGCTTGTCCTGGTCTCATGGTAACTGAAGACTTCTGCTTGTCCTGGTCTCATGGTAACTGAAGACTTCTGCTTGTCCTGGTCTCATGGTAACTGAAGACTTCTGCTTGTCCTGGTCTCGTGGTAACTGAAGACTTCTGCTTGTCCAGGTCTCATGGTATCTGTAGACTTCTGCTTGTCCAGGTCTCATGGTAACTGAAGACTTCTGCTTGTCCTGGACTCGTGGTAACTGTAGACTTCTGCTTGTCCAGGTCTCATGGTAACTGTAGACTTGTGGCAACCACAATGTCATGTAGTCACTGGCAACCATAATATCATGTTATCCCTAGCAACCCCAATGTCATGTAGTCCCTAGCAACCTAATGTTTCATGTAGTACCTGGCAACCACAATATCATGTAGTCCCTAGCAACCACAATGTCCTGTAGTCCCTGGCAACCACAATGTCATGTAGTCCCTAGCAACCGAATGTTTCATGTAGTCCCTGGCAACCACAATGTCATCTAGTCCATAGCAACCAAAGTTGTCATGTAGTCCCTGGCAACCACAATGTCATGTAGTCCCTAGCCACCACAATGTCATGTAGTCCCTGCCAACCACAATGTCATGTAGTCCCTGGCAACCACAATGTCATGTAGCCCCTGGCACCCACAATGTCATGTAGTCCCTAGCAACCACAATGTCATGTAGTCCCTGGCCACCACAATGTCATGTAGTCCCTAGCCACCACAATGTCATGTAGTCCCTGGCAACCACAATGTCATGTAGTCCCTGGCAACCACAATGTCATGTAGTCCCTGGCAACCACAATGTCATGTAGTCCCTGGCACCCACAATGTCATATAGTCCCTAGCAACCACAATGTCATGTAATCCCTAGCAACCACAATGTCATGTAGTCCCTGGCAACCACAGTGTCATGTAGCCACTGGCAACCACAATGTCATGTAGTCCCTGACAACCACAATGTTTTGTAACCCCTAGAAACCACAATGTCATGTAGTCCCTGGCAACCACAATGTCATGTAGTCCCTGGCAACCACATTGTCATGTAGTCCCTGGCAACCACAATGTCATGTAGTCCCTAGCAACCGAATGTTTCATGTAGTCTTTGTCAACCACAATGTCATCTAGTCCATAGCAACCAAAGTTGTCTTGTAGTCCCTGGCAACCACAATGTCATGTAGTCCCTAGCCACCACAATGTCATGTAGTCCCTGGCAACCACAATGTCATGTAGTCCCTGGCAACCACAATGTCATGTAGCCCCTGGCACCCACAACGTCATATAGTCCCTAGCAACCACAATGTCATGTAGTCCCTGGCAACCACAATGTCATGTAGTCCCTGGCAACCACAATGTCATGTAGCCCCTGGCACCCACAATGTCATATAGTCCATAGCAACCACAATGTTATGTAATCCCTAGCAACCACAATGTCATGTAGTCCCTGGCAACCACATTGTCATGTAGTCCCTGGCAACCACAATGTCATGTAGTCCCTAGCAACCGAATGTTTCATGTAGTCTTTGGCAACCACAATGTCATGTAGTCCCTAGCAACCGTATGTTTTATGTAGTCCCTGGCAACCGCAATGGCATGTAGTCCCTGGCAACCACAATGTCCTGTAGCATCTGGCAACCACAATGTCATGTAGTCCCTGGCAACCACAATGTCATGTAGTCCCTGGCAACTACAATGTCATATAGTCCCTAGCAGGCACAATGTCATGTAATCCCTAACAACCCCAATCTCATGTAGTCCCTGGCAACCATATTGTCATGTAGTCCCTAGCAACCACAATGTCATATAGTCCCTAGCCTCCGCACTGTTCACTCGCTCCCAAAGGGCCCTTACAACATCTAGATTGTCATACGTCAATTCACCACCAAATGATGCAGAACTGGCCAGTCTATATGCTTGCTTGTTTTCCAACACGCCTGCATTCCTGTTTCTACCTTACTAGACATACAATGTGCGTATAGCTGACTCTCACGCCAATTGAAGGCAGCAGTGACTGCCTCCGCTTCCATTCTCAAACTAGACGTTGTGATATCGTACACCGGGCTCTGTTGTCCTGAACGACGTCCATTCGCTTTTCCTATGAATCCCCATGCACTTTACCTCTCAAAACAGAGCCATCTGTATAGATAATCACGTCACTTGGGCGGGAATTGTCATTAATCATTTATGCAACTTCTGAATCTGCAGCGCCAACCGGTCAATCCCTGCATTGACGACATAAAGTGATTAAAATTATACACAAGTCTGAAACTTGCTCGGACACCTAAACCCACTCCTCTCCTTGCCCAAACGTATCAACCTTGCACACATGTCCAATTGGGTATTCAGCCTGCGCCATCCAAGACCTTCCCCTTTTCAGTCTGTGAACCTTAGCTCTAACAAGGGTTTCATGCAGGAGGTTTTTCTTGTCTGCAGCTACTCCGAGATATGACTTTGCCTGCAGAACTTTGAGCTTGTCTGCAATTGCAGGAAATTCCAGAGAAATTAGACTAAAAAGCTCAACAAAATGTGGAAGCAGAAAAATGTGAACAAAACAACACAACGTAACGTTTCGGCCTGGCAACATTTTTCAAACATAAGTGAACTACACAAACGTAACAACAAGGAGAGGAGAGTATGTAGATCTCTAAGGGGTGAAGTGAGCAACGTTTAAAAAAAATGTGATGTGGAATAATGAAATAAAATAAAACAAACGATGGTTAAAAAATATAGTCACACCCAAAAAAAAAAAAAAATTAATCAACAGTAGTATTGTTTATATATAATATAATACTGGGAATAAAAGAAATACAAATGTTAATGATAAATAAATGATACTGATAAGTAATAGAATAAAGAAATAATTTGAAATAAAAGAAAAGAAAAGAAAAGAATTAACATTTAAAACGTGATGAGAATAGAACTATTTAGATGAAGGTATGTTGGATATTGATACCACCTGGACTAAGAAAGCCTAAGCTGTGGATGAGGCGATTTTCCAAAGCGAGGCGCGTAGTATGATCGCCAGAACAAGATTTTATTGCTGTGACAGAAATATCATCTTTACCTCTGTGGTCAGAGCTATTAAAATGGCAGTGCAAGTATATATAACATGCATACTACCAGGGTATCTATTGTATACCCCAGAATTACATGCATGTCTTCATTCTGTATGCGTTCAAGTTTCATCTGCTGATTCTTTGATATGGTCAGCATTCCAAGTCCGTAATCTATTTTCGACAGGATCACACACTGAATGTTGAAGAAGTTATGTGAACACAAAATGCTTCATTGATAAAATAAAATTGCGGTCTGAAAGTTTGCAAGGGCCTAATGTCACATCATCTACTTGCCCAATTTGTAATCATTTTAAAATAAAGTTCTATCTGTCTATCTATCTATCTATCTATCTATCTATCTATCTATCTATCTATCTATCTATCTATCTATCTATCTATCTATCTATCTATCTATCTATCTATCTATCTATCTATCTATCTATCTATCTATCTATCTATCTATCTATCTATCTATCTATCTATCTATCTATCTATCTATCTATCTATCTATCTATCTATCTATCTATCTATCTATCTATCTATCTGTCTGTCTGTCTGTCTGTCTGTCTGTCTGTCTGTCTGTCTGTCTGTCTGTCTGTCTGTCTGTCTGTCTGTCTGTCTGTCTGTCTGTCTGTCTGTCTGTCTGTCTGTCTGTCTGTCTGTCTGTCTGTCTGTCTGTCTGTCTGTCTGTCTGTCTGTCTGTCTGTCTGTCTGTCTGTCTGTCTGTCTGTCTGTCTGTCTGTCTGTCTGTCTGTCTGTCTGTCTGTCTGTCTGTCTGTCTGTCTGTCTGTCTGTCTGTCTGTCTGTCTGTCTGTCTGTCTGTCTGTCTGTCTGTCTGTCTGTCTGTCTGTCTGTCTGTCTGTCTGTCTGTCTGTCTGTCTGTCTGTCTGTCTGTCTGTATGTGTGTGTGTGTTTGTGTGTGTGTGTGTGTGTATGTATGTATGTATGTATGTATGTATGTGTGTATGTATGTATGTGTATGTGTGTGTGCGTGTTCGTATGTATGTGGATGTATGTGTGTACTGGGTGCCTATGTGTTTGTGTGTAAGAGAGTGATTGGGCTTGTGTGTGTATGTGGGTGTGTGTGTTCGCGCGTGAGCGTGCGCACATATTTTACCAACCATGCTTTTGTTTTTGACTTCATATCCATAATATGCATATCATTACATGAATATAACATGCTTCATTGATGAAATACATCTGCTGTGTGAAA